ANAAATTATAATAACAAATAATAATAATAATTATAAATATTAAAAATTAGAATAATAAATAATAATAATAATGATAATTATTATAAATTATAAATTATATAAAAATAATAATTAATAATAATAATGATAATAATTTAAAAAAAAAAAAAAAAATATTCCGTCCGGCCGGCCGGACCGGACGGACCGGTTCCGACCGGCCGCCGGTTCCGGTCAGGCACGGTCCGTCCGGCCGTGCTTTCCGGACGGTATTTGCTCCGTCCGGCCACCGGTTCCGGACGGGCTTTAAGCCGTCCGGCCGCCGGTTCCGGACGGGCTTTAAACTGTCCGGAACCGACGTCCGGACACGAATTTTTTCGTACCTCGGAATTTGACGACATTTCACCGTACACTTCTCTGAGATGTTTACGAAAAATGAGAGGGGCAAAATTGTCCAAGGGGGGCGGTGACTAGTAATTTGGGGGGCGGTGAATAGTAATGCCCTAAGATTATTTGTGACAAAATAGAGGAACAGAATGACCCGCTTTGACCCATGCGTCATCGTCTCCTCCTACTATCCAAATTTGACCCGACCCGGTTACAGGGAAAAAAAACTGAAAAATCTGAAGATCCATCAACTAGGAAGATCAAGAAAAATCTCCAAGTTCAAACCCTTACTCCATAATCACTTCAAAACTCTGATCGATCATCGACACCATCACATATGGATTCTCTGTCGTCGGTATCGCCGTCAATCGTGCTCCCACTCCGCTGCCACCACCACCACCACCACCACTACCACCACCGGCGGCGGCTAACGGACGTCTCCGCCACATGCGGCAATTCAATCGATCGATTACGTATTTCGGATCGATTTTGTAGGGGATATCCGATTTCTAGGGTTCGCTGTAAATTGGGCGGGGAAAATGATCGGCAAGGCGAGAACGATCGGAGGGACGAGGAGCTGGACAGGGCCTTGCGGATGGACGGTGCGATCCCCGGGACCTCCGACGCGTTCGTGAAGCAGGTGTCCTCACGCGCCTACGATATGCGCAGGCACCTCCAACAGAGTTTTGATAGCAGCAGCTATGATGGTAAGGCCGCTTCACAATGATATTAGGAGAATTTTTCAATTTGTGCCTAACATGAATACTGTAATTACTCTTACTCAGCAATGGGTTTTCGTTTTCTGTATCTTGTTCTGATAGGCACCTTTGATCTGAGTTAGGAAAGTTGGAAATCATTTGTTCATCATGTGCTCTGGAGTTTAGCAAGTTCTTTACTCTATTGGCCTCTTGAAATTTGGTTGAATCATTTGTCTGACGTTTAAGCGAATATGAATGGTGTGTATGTCTGAAATCTTATGTTCTATGGATGAACACTTAAAAATCGTGTTCATTTAAGTTTAGATGATTTAAGTAAAACCTGAGCAACTTAACTGGAATACACATTAAAGTTTAGTTCTCTCTCTTTTGGTTGTATATGCAGTACTTGAGGCAAATCCTTGGCGCGAGTCTTCGAAATCCGTTTATGTGCTGACTCACCAGGAAAACCAGCTGTGTACAATGAAAACACGTAGAAACCGCAGGTGACTTCTAAATCTCGAATTCGGATATTTTTTTATTTTTTTTTTCATTTTGAATTTGTATGGATCTGAATCGCTCAGTGGTACTCACACATGTAGTGAAGTTGAACGGGAGCTCGGACTTCTGTTTTCTAAAGGTGGGATGAGGAGAAACCAGTCGAAACAGTCACGAACAGACAACCAATTCCAGATGCTCGTTGAGGATGTCCGAGAGGGTGTACTCGTAAGTTCATACCTTGCGCTTTGAGAATATAGAAAGCAGTATATATTTGAGAAGAACACCTCAACTTTGCTTGGCATTGTTTCTTTGATGTATTGGCTATTGGTTTATGTCTCGTTATCAGGGCGTGTTTGTATTCAAATATATCCGTTCAAAATGAGTTATTTTCGTTAACTAGAGTTAATTTGAAAAAATATGGTATGGTTAGTGGTTAGTGGTTAATGGTTAGTGGGATTTTGAATTTATATTAAAATAATATTTAAAATAAAATAGTTAAAGTTGATTTAATGTAAAAGCAGAAAAGAGCTAATTATGTGAGCGGATGAATAGTAAATTAAAGTTGATGTGATGCGTAAAAATAATTGATTGATATTATTTAATTATATTGGTAAAATTGGGGATAATGTGGTTGGGTTAAAGTTGAGTTAACTTTTGAGTATGAATTGAGATTATTTGTACACAAACACACCCAGTTTCTATTGGCATGAGTTAAAGTCTATCTTTGAGTGTTATTATTTACATTTTAAATGTAGATTTGCATATGCAATCAAGTATACTCTAGTGTTCTTTGCTTGCTCTTCAATTGGAATTTTTGCAGTCACATTGGCATCTGTTGGAGCTCTATTATGGAAAAAAAAAAAACAGCACTAAATATGTTGCATTTTTTTATTTTTTATTTTTCATGTAATCACAAATAACAATGGCTTGGAGATGTATTAAGCGTCTATTTTTCTGATCCGTACGAATTTTGGTTAAATATTTTGGAAAATGATACTGACTTACTTAGCATCTGAAATTTTCTATTTATCCAAAGGTATTCGAAGATCAAAACGACGCTGCAAGGTACTGTGACTTGCTCCAAGGAGGCGGAGGACCAGGTTGTGAAGGTGTTGCCGAGATAGAAGCCTCATCAGTAAGAAACTTGATTACCGTCAAACTCAAATATATATGGTATATTTTATATTTATCTTAAAATTTGTTTTTTTCGTACAGGTCTTTGACCTGTGCCAGAAGAACAGGGCACTTGCTGTTTTGTTTCGTAGGGGGCGAACACCACCTCTACCAGAGAGCCTCAAGCTCGACCTTGGGGCACGAAAACGGTCCCTTGAAGACCAAGAGGACTCAATTTGAATAAGACGAGACTTTGGATACTGTACTGTAATTTCTGATATTTTTTCTTTTTTTTTTTCGTGACAGAATTTAGGCATAATTACAAAAATGGCATAATGTATAAAATTACATGATGAACTAGTTTGTTCTGTTTGCTGTTCTATTAGATTACATTCCTACTGCATATGTCAACTGTTGCCTGAAGATGAATAAATTATTAATGTGGAATTCTAATATAAGGTTAATCTATAATATTTTGAGGAAAAGATGAATATATATTAAAAATCATATGTGAAGATCAATGACAAAATCATAAAAATTTTGTAATAAATTCAAAATGGTTGTTGCCATATTATTACTATAAATTTACTTAAATGCATTACTTTATATTTATGTTAATATTCTTTATTTCTCGTTATAAAATTTGACGAAGAGTGATTGATATTATGGTTGAATTTAAGTAATATGGTGTGTACCTCTAGTAAATTATTATTTTATTTTTTTTATACAAAATTAGGTTTTTAATTAATATATTTGCACTGTATTAGGACAATTCTACTTGTGCATAGTAACTCCTACGTAGAGTTGTGCATACCCATCTGAGTAAGTCTCTCCAACCGACACTCAAAACTCAAATAATGCAATAAATTTGCTCCAAATAGGATTTTTCTGTACTTTATTTCATCGGAATATATAACATCAGAGTATAATGAAGAAGGCGAGCTCCTTTTATACTTGAGCTTAAAGACTAAATCCAATCAAACCGTGCCACATTAGCTAAGCCTAACAGAAACTTAAAATATAAATAAAGATGAGCTTCTATAAGTGAAGCACGCTTCTAACATCAACAGTGTTTATTTGGATTCTTTAAGGTTAAATATGCATGAAAATGAGAGAGGAAGAGATCATAAACAAAACATATATAGGTGAATATAAATTAAGTTAATTTAACACCTACACAAATGTTTGTACCATTCAGTGTTTAAATTTGCAGGCTATGCTGAGAATGGAAACTTAGATGAATATTTGTTCTTAGAGTACTTTGTGCAGACTGCAGATAACATTGAATTTTCGGACAAAAGGATAAGGTTACAGACTTACAGTCCAACATGCTCATGTAAAAGCAATATAACTCCACGTACAAAAGCAATATGACTCTTTTTAGCAAAAATATTTTTATTTATTTTTTATTTTTTACCCGGAACAGCTGAGCGGGTCAATCCCGACCTGCTCCAGATGGATATGTGGGAATGGTCAGCAATCAAATCGATCAAACCTGGACTCACTCAATCTAAATCCTAATTTATTTAAAAAAAAAAAAAATTAGAATTAGAAATTATGCATATATATTTTTAGTGAAATAATTATGATGATATCAATATAATTAAGATTAGATGTTTAAAACTTTACTATATATTATTGATTTTGTTATTTTTCTATATTTTTAGGAGAAAAGTAAGATTTTATACTTTTAAAGAAACATACAACTTATCGAGACAAAAAGAACATGACACGAGGAGATCACACAGTGAAATTAATGATAGCTGCAGAATATTCTTATCCCTAAAGTACGGTAAGATAGATATCTTCCAGCTTCAAAATGTGAAAGGTTGTCCTGTTGTTTCTTGATTTAGATGCCACATTTTTAACGGCCCTCAAATTTGAAAAGTTATTGACCAAAATCAATTGCTCATATTTAGCTCAAACATGCATGCCATAATTAACTCACACATAATATACAAGTTCAATCGAAAAATTTATAAATTTGAGTCCTTACGAATTAAAAGATTAATTACATAAAACTAACATAAATATATCATATTAAAATTGGCTAAAATAATGTGCGGTATTTTTTGTGAACAGCCCCAATCATTATATCTAAATTGATTTGAAACTGATAGAGTTGTAATTATGTAAAATAATATATATTATAGACATGCAATACGGATTTAACAAGTCATTATGTGACGATTCATGTTAAATTTTGTCAATGTATATAGCTTGGACAACCATACACAATTTTGTAGCAATCTACATTAAGTAACCAACAAAAATATGATAATACTATCAATAGCAGGAAAAAAAGAGAGTGTATTTTTCTTT